ATTTTTTATAGTTATGACAACAGTTTTATTTTGTCATGCTTTAGTTACCATTACAGAAATTGCATGAACTAAATATTAGATAGCTGCCAACAAAACCTGTGGTTTCTGAGACATAATGTGATAAGTAGAAAGCTATTTTGTTCATTATAACAGAGAAAAGATGCAAAATATTATCAGTAATAATTTGCAATCATATATTGAACCCTGGAACAAATTCAAATCCATAAGTAAGGCAATAGTGAAATTGAGGTGAGAACTTACAAGTGAAGGAACCACCGGAGTGCCAGCTGGCGATGAAGGAGTGGCTGGCACCGGAGGTGCTTCAGGGATGTTTCCAGCAACAACAGCAGCTTCACATTCGGCATCACTCCTACCCATCTTTTTCATGGGCCCATCATTAATTGAAGCCTTTAATACAAGCATACGCCTATGTGGCAAAGTAGAGGCTGATGGCTGAATCGGAAGGGTATTTTTGAGATTTCCATAAGTCCGGCAATCTAAACCCCTAATTGTTCCAACATTCAATGGCATATTCACTATAGAGGAAGCCATAGCTATAAATTCTGCAAAAGGCTATCAGAGAAAACTTAGGAGATAAAGTTTGTAAGAAAACAGTAATACCAAAGGTTTTCAAAACTCAAGATCTGGAACATTGAGAAAACAAAAGATATAAAATATAAAAGAGTTAAACAGATCATTCATCAGTACCGTTTCAGTTGAATAAAACAGCAAAGTAAACAAATAATCAAAAATGATACCAATAATGAAAATAGAAGCACAAAGTGAATAGCCTTTACCTTTTAAAAATGAAATCTTTCTCAATTAACTAATGTAAACATAAATGCCAGTTGCAATAATATGTTGCATAATTCATGCCAGATAACATGTATTGGTAAAAAGGTGAATATTGTTGCACAAGTAAGCATTTAACAGATGGAACATCATGAGGTATGTGGTGCAGGTTACAATGTTGCATATTTTGATCTTAGAATGAAATCGAGTAGAATATTTATCTAAAAAATGAAGTTGTTGCATAAATTGGGAAAAAGGTGAAACATATTCGCACAAACAAACAATTAACCCTAGATAAAAATTAACAATTTCATTCAGGAATAAATTATATGCTCTTATTGTATATCTTACCTGCTTTTTAACATCATAAATAGGCATATTCAACTATGAAATATAATACCTAATGAGTTTGTATTACAACAAACTATATGAGTCATATTTGCATTCTAAATATACATCCTAATACCTCAATGCGTAACTTCCAGTGTGATATTATATACAGCCATACAGGTTGTCAATGATCCACGAAGAACATAGACTATGTGAACGGACTATTGATGCTAGGTAGTTGACGCAGCAAGTTCGGTTAGTCACCGTTAGTGAAAGAAAGCAGCTTAAGATCTCATTTATGCTTTGGTAACTCATAACAAAAAAGGTAAAAGCAATACAACCACAATTTGTTTAATCTAATAATAAAAGAACATAAATGCACTAGAGAAGTTAATACATAAACGTTAACCTCAAACTGCAAGATATTATCCTGATGTTAATTTTTGATTCATAGATGAATCAAATGCAGTTGTAGACCCCGTAATACGTCAAGTCCCAACACAATTTTAAGAAATAATCACTTTAACTCTGAGTACAGAATCAACAGGATCGATATGAATACCTAAATTTACGATCGGGAGGAAGAATTCAAGAGCGGTGAAGCAGGTGCCCCGGCGTATACCTTCGCCTTCGACGTGACGCTGAGGCAATGGTCGGGAGACTAGAGAAAGAGTAAGTTTGGTAAGGGTGAGAATGAAAGCGGACAAAGATGGTGTGATCGTTTTAGATTAGATTTTGTTTTTATCTTGTGTTATTTTACCACTAACTTTTTAAAATTTATGAAGTTGCCACGAAAGTCAATTTTTTTACAAAATGACACTAACGTGGGTTTTGTCGGATTAAGTCGTGTTAAGTTGTTTCCTTGGATATTCCCATCAGTAATCGTAGCTTTGCACATGAACAAAAAGCTTAAAATTTAGAGTTTCTTTTAAAACACGATGTATTAATCAATTTAGTAATTATCACAAGTTTAAATGCAACCTTACAAACAGACGCCTTCAAATTACCCTTGTAATAAACCCAGCACAAATCAAAATAAGTTAAACAATGAAATGTCTGGTAGGAATATGTAGGGTTGCCTCATTTAAAAACTCACCCTAAACTTCATTTTTTTTCTTATTTTTTTCTCTCATCGACCCTACCCCATTTTTACATACATATTTTGAGATATAAATAGTATTCCACATATATGGGGGAATACTATTCATATCTCCAAAAATAGAGGTGAAATTTGGTTACCGATTTTAGTCTCTCTCATTTTTATTTTATGTATTTTTAATTTATTTTATCTACTAATTATAATTTAAATGCAATATTTAATATTTATAATATCATGTTATACATTAATTAATCATAAATATAGAGTTTAATTAGTAGAGGAGTGTATTTGACAATATATATAAGTTATAAAAATGGAATATTTCAGGAATATACTTTTTTGGATAAAAAATGGGGTTGAGAATGAAATAGGGTTGGAGATAAAACACTATTTACTCCATTTTTTATTCCATTTATAGGGGAAAAATAAAGATGGGTTGGAGATGGTCTTAGAGTAATTAAAATAGAAATTATCATACTCGAGACCAACATCCAAAAATCAATATAAAATCAACTAAAAATATAAGTATTTGTAACGTTCCAAGAATAAGACCTAAAAATTTTATTTTTAAATTAATAAAAACAATATCTCAAAACATCATCATAAATCCCAAGTGGAACAAATGTATCAATATATCATAAAATATCTGAGTTATCATGAAAATGCGGAACAATATCATTTGTGCATTGCAATCACCCTAAGTTCTTCCCCTTTGCACCCGAAGCAGTGGCGGATGGTAATAGAGGCCAGAATGGGCCATGGCCTCCCCGATTTTAAGCATTCTAATACCCTACATATAGTTTATTTATCTAATTTTACCCGACAGTTGATTGAATTGATTAATTACACTCCTCTGTTTTTGTAAAATTTAGTTATTTGCTAAAGAATCTAAAACCAAATAACTAAATAAACATTCGAAAATCACTGAACAAATCATAACAGATTTGTTAAATATCTTTTAAGATCAATAAAAATATTGAAAATTTAATCATATTTACAAAAATCTTAACTCGGAGTTTAAGAATAAAAAAGAAATCCGCAAAACTTATTTCTTCCATCGGAAAACAAAGCTTCCGTCCAACTGCATCTCCGAAACCGGTATCCGACATCGGACTCTCGCCTTCCGACGTTCTCTGTTCACTATCTCTCCCTCTCTGCAAATCGTCGGACTTTGCGTTGCCGTCGTTCTTTCTCTTCTCCATTGTCCGCTACCTCGCCGGACTCGTCATATCTGATTTTCGGTGTGCACTATGCTTGATGTTGGTCTCTGCTTTTCCTTCTCCGACTCTTCAATCTCCTCTCCATAAAGTACTAAAAGATAAAACGGTATTATATTACTATCTTTGTGTCTCTCACTCTCCTTGGCTTTTTGTTTCTTTCTTTATTTTCTCTTATATCAAATATGTAATATCAAACATTGTAATGTGTGTAATGTGTGAGTATGAAGTGTAAATGTGAAAAAGTTGACCTATACGTAACGACCATAAAACTCGAGCCAAATTAAAACATTTTAATTCATTCAAAAACCATTAAGTTCATACATTTGTTTTCAAAATAGTTTAAACATCAGAGTATTTCCCCATAACCATATCACATAAATCATAAAACATGAGGAGCGATACGATCACGCCTTCGCCTTGCCACGATCTCCTGAAGTACCTGAAACAAAACACTGAACTGTAAGCTCGAAAGATTAGTGAGTTACCCCCAAAATACCAACCATACATAAACATACTCATAACATATCACAAATAGAACAGCCATGCACATCGGGTCTACTGTGGGACTGGTCCGCCGCACCGGGCCTTCAGTCCACCTCACCCTCCGAGTCTAGCCATGTATATCGAGTCTATAGTGTGATTGGTCCACCTACACCGGGCCTTCAATCCACCTGGTCCACTCTCTGAGTCTACAGTATGACTGGTCCACTCGCACCGGGCCTTCAGTCGGTCTGGTCCACTCTCCGAGCCTCGGCACGTCTGGTCAGCCCTCTGGGGCCCTTCAGCCTATTCGGACCGCTTGTTGGGCCTTCGGAATATCTGGTCCGCCCTGGGTATGTTGGCCTACAATACAAAGCAGAACCCGCCTCAACCCAAACCCCCGTCAAACAACCATGTGCACATAAAACAATTAATCACATAACAAATCCTTAACCAGACAACACTCTATCAGATCACATAGCATATCAACATGCTAACCAGGATTCCGACCTAACCGGTCACTAGCATAACATTACCCTATATACCAGGTACCGACCTTAACAAAGTCACTAACATAACACCATCCTAAATACCAGGATGCAGATCTAGCAAAGCAATAACATAACAAACAATACTCGGATTTCCATCCGATAAAGGGCCGACCTTGGCGCCGTAGACCATGTCAATATAATGAGCATAACTCACTTGCAATTGCCGCCTGAAGAGATAAGACCAAGCTGCTCCGACCACCGACGCGAACCTCACCACAGAACACTATCAAAGAACCAATTCCATAAATACCAAAGGGAGTCAAACTGGTCAACTCTTGGTCAAATTCAAAGTCCAAAGTCAACCTTTCTTGTTAACTTTACTCACCGAGTCACCCCGTCGACTCGCCGAGTTCCCATACCCAGAAAACTCTCATTACACAACTTAACTCGTCGAGTCGCCCCAAGACTCCCCGAGTCCAACGATCTCTGAGTCCCATCCTGTCCGACTGACTGAGCTGCCAACCGACTCACTTAATCCAAGGCTTTAACCAAAAGAGGTTAGGTTCTGCAACCAGACTCGCCGAGTCCAAGGCAATCTTCAACAGACTCGTCGAGTTGTTCTTCCAACTCGTCGAGTCCATGCACAAGTTCATACAACTCATCGAGTACACCCATGTGACTCACCGAGTCCCTCCAGTTCTCAATCCATTCGGAGGCTTTTCGAGCCATGTAGGGGGTCCAAACCATAGATCCACTCTTCTACAACCCAATCCTCACATAAAGTTACAAACTTTACGTGAGACAAAGGAGGTATAGGCTCAAAACACACTATGGCTAGGGTTTTGGAAAAAGGGGCTTCACCAAAAACTCAATGACTGAAACTTTATGAGACTATAGACCATCACAATCCTAGATCTGAAGTAGCAACCTCATATCTAAGCCTCTAACTCGAAATACCTCTTAATCATACCAAAAATGCCCTAAATTTCAAATGATAATAGATCTAAATACCAAAGAGCCCAAGCAACAGATTATTACCTCCAAGATATGTTCCACTAAAGTAGATCCCGGATCTACACCACTCCTTTGCAGCAAGCCTTTAATTCCTCAAGCTCTTTCCCACCAATTTCCTCTTCCAAGCTCCAATCTCCTTAATAATGAAGTCTCACACGAAGGTTAGGGTTTCTGGAATTCTCAGGGGGATTAGGAGGCTGGGATAAGGACATAAAGTCCTTTAAATATGGTGCAAACCCTAAGATTAGGGTTTTCTCATTCCAGCACCAACTCGTCGAGTCCAGCTTCCGACTCGGCGAGTTGGTCACTTGATTCGCGATCCAAACCCGCTCCGAATCGGTGAGTAAGCGTACCTACTCATCGAGTCCCTTCCTTTATTTACACTAAGCACCCTTCACTTCTTGTTCCGAACTTGGGATGTTACAATTCTCCCCCACTTAAATTAGGCTTCGTCCTCGAAGCCTGCAGCAACACAGCTTTCCGGATGATACTCCCACAATGCATCCACTGATCTCAACCGACCCAGATTCCTTCAAACACTGCTATCGAATCCTTAAAATTCACCTCTTCCCTTGCAGGGTCCTGATAACCGCTTTGAGCCGGCCACCGGCTTCCTTTCTTTGATAACAACACTCATCAACTAAGTGCCACTAGAAGACACTACCTTACTTCCGCTTTACACATTCATTCACCACCTGTGAAAACCGGATACCATTCTAAACCACCGGGTCTTGACCCAGTATTATCCCGCTATCTCTCGCCCATCTGGCGCCACTTCTCTCAACTCGCACCGATGGAAACTCATCCTATTTCCTCCCTGGATCAAATACCTTACCATGCTGATATAATGGAACATTTCCCAGCTCCCGAGCAACCCTCCTGAACACCTAACTATAACGTTCATACACATCGTAACTGGACCAATCAGCCTTGGGCTAGAAAACCAGGCACGCCTACGATGGTCCAACCATCCCTAGGATGGAACACCACTACATCCATAGCTCATGACCACAACCATACTCGAAAACAAGGATCTTGTCCTTGCGTCACCCTCGAACCCTTTGGTTCGACACAACGGAGTGCAACCCACTCACCTCCCTATCACGACCTCTAGGTCCTTGACATCTGACTGTAATATCCTCATACAGTCCTTAGCACCGGTCCAGACTACTCCCGAGTCTGTTAACCTGCTGTCTCACCTTCCTTTGTCCAAACCTCCAATCTGGAACCACTATCCTCCTCCTCTCCCAAGGAGGCTGAAAACATGTCGCACATCATCCAACATCGCCACCACCTCAACGGGCATCCAACCCGTATGTGTTTCCATATATCTGGTACAACCCCAGTGCTTACTATCAATAACTGAAGTACTTTCGATCATCCATTCACACTACTGTTTTCCTTTCAGAGGACCCACACTCCTTCTGGAGCTATATACCTTTCCCTTCCAGGAAATCTACTCAACAACCCTTGCCACACTTGCAAGTGTCACTGTGCTAAACTCCACTCTATACTATCCATGTAGAGCAACTGCTATTGTCGAACTCCCATATACTCCGAATCAAATCACATACTAACTAGGCCCATGCACGGC